ATTTGGCTATAGCTTCAAATCGATGAACTTACAAACGCCAAAAGCCAACTCACACTTACTCTTACAAATTGAGCTGTAAGTACAATTTTTCCGAGGTGTATTTGGACAGATTGTGAGGGGGGACTGACTTCATAAACGCATTAAAGTGTCCCGCATATAATATTTCCAGAAGATTTTACTGCCGCACGTTAAAATATTATTACATTATTCGTTCAATATATTACCATGTACCATCATCACCGCCGCCTCATGTGTGTAGTATACGTTCCTGGTACATAAATCGCTCTGGACGTTTACCGCATAAATTATCGTACGTGGACCGACCCGCCGCCGCACTGTCCGCGGTGCGCTCGAAAGTCAACTGACCCGCCGCCGCCGCTGGGGGATTTACGACTACGGCTGCAGAGTTATCGCAACGGCGCGGCAGAGAGCAAAACGTTAAATAAAATTAAGGGACGTTCCGGACAAAAGTTATGTTTTCGCATTGCCCCCGTCGTCCTCGTCCGAATAAATCTAGACGTCTTGTAAATCTCGAGGCTAATTACAAAACGTCTACGTCCAATAATTACGCAATGCATCTCGCACTTCAACTCCGCAGTCAGATAGATGATATATATATGTGTGTGTGTGTGTATATAACGTAAAACTATCGTGGGGTTGAAAAATATAAATACTGATAATCATTAATCGTCCCGTGATAGCTTGCGGACGGTGACGGAATAGATTCTTTGTTTTCGTTTATTAATATTGCAGTTGAAACGCATAAGATATCACCTCGGGCATAACGAATACCTTATATTATAATGTGACGCAATAATCGGACAAAGGAACAAAGTATGGAAGTGTATTATGCGCGATACTTAGTGTAACATAAGTATAATGTGTTGGTATATGACTGCCAGACTGCAATGTGCAGCTGCAGTGCTGCAGTGGTTGCGATGCGAAAAAACGACCGGACAATAATCACGCAGGTGTCAAATTATTATGCCGACGTGCGCAACTTGCACACACACAACGTTATACAATATTATTATTTTATTACACTGTATACCGTGGTACACTGGTACAATAACAAAACTCGATTGCTTTATCTATGGAAATAGCTCGATTTTATTGTTTATCCGTCCTCGACCGTCGTGTTCTATAATACAATACATCGTTATTATTATTATTATTATTACGATATTTGACATTCGTCGTTCGGTCCTCTGAGTAAGTGTCATTTGGGGCACGGTAGGGGAGGAATTTGACCCCCCCCCTTGTTATTAGCGGACATCTATCGGGCCAAGTATGGTGTCGGGCTAATTTTCGGCCTCAAGCCAGCAAACATGATTCATAATGTAATCGCTGAATAAAATTTAACCATGATTCGTGGCTCGTGCTTATGTGTAAATAATTATAGGGTATCTGTATATTATGTATTTCTAATTTATGTATATTAGATAATAGAAGACTTATAGTTCATGGCACGGTTGTAGATAGTATATCTATACTCGTTTGGATTATAGCTATTGTTTGACGTTTCAATACTTAGAAGAAGGCTATTAGTATTGAGATAAAAATGTAATTATAATTATAATGTAATGTAGTAATGTAAAACTGTGAACGAGTGGTTTTTTTTCCTATTTTATTATGGGCTAGTCAAAATTTTTGCCCCCCCCCCCTCTCAAAAACTGAAATGACGCCACTGCCTATACGTAGGTACTAGGTACACATATAAATATAAATAAAACTCGCCGGCGAGCGTCTGGCGTTTTCCTCTAGTGCGACACACAAGCATTTCCTTCAAGATTAATGTCCGCGAAAATCGAGTTTTCAGCTATACGTCGCTCTATACTCGTTTCAGTCGTTTTCCCCCTATATGTATATCGTATATATTATATAATGTGTGTATAATATTATGAACGCTCAGCCGCCGCAGCTGCCGCTCGCAACTCTTTCGATTTGCTTTCAACAAAGCACAGTAATAACATAATGCCAGAGAAGATTATTGTGCGCACGCATTATACGTATAAGTAATAAGTTGTTTCATCGCACGTAACACAAGTCCGCGTGCGTGTGTGCGCGTGATGGACGTGTGTGTTTAAAAGTAAATTACGCGGCTTTAAATAATTTCCTATGTTTATTAGTCGATTTCGCAGAGAGATAACAACGGTTGCGCGCCTCGTGCATTATTACGAGACGAGCGTGAGCTGCTGCTCTCGCGGCGTTTTTTAAATCCGCAGGTACCCCCAAAGCAGCACAAATAACAACAATAATAGTAATAATAATAATAATAATATATGATGGCCCAATATTATTACGTTTTCCTCGACGATTACCAGATCGTTTCGCTCCGGAACGCGTGTGCAAATCATCGCACTAATTAGTAATTAGTAATTACATTGTTATGCTGTTCAGCATCAGCAGTGTAGCCGAATTAATAATAAGCGCTGTTTTGACGCGATTGGGAAAATACAATACAAATAATAACAACAATAATGTTATGTACTATCGATAAAATAATAATAATATTGTTATAATATATTATTATAAAAAGGCAAAACGCAAACGGTGTACAATATTCGTCAATGCTGAACGCTGTGGTAGAAGCGTCTTGCATTGCGAATTATCGAAAGACGTAGGGAACGACGATGACTGGTGATGAATTCGTTGTGACCGCGGTTCTTGGGAAGTGCGGGGGGGGAGAGAATATGCACTTACGTGTCGCGGATCTATTATTACAATAATGCATCACAAGGATTATTATTATAATATCGTACGCATTTACGGTGTTATCGATAAAATATGTGCGTCGATTTTAATACGAGAAACAATAAAAATGAACTCTCATGATATTACTGCTCCGCACTTCCCAGTATAATAATCTGCGGTGCACGTAAATAATTCAGTTGGACCGTGTTCTGTGTGAACGTGTACACTCGTATTACTCGAAACCGTTGATCAAATCTGTTTTGTTTTTATCATGAAATAATATGCATTCGGGTGTTTTGGCAGTATACGAAAAGACATAATTTTTGTTTCCCATCTGCAGATAGCCGTACAAGTGCAGCACTGTGCACACGAATAATAATAATTACCGACATGGCGGTTCAACGGAAAAATAAACTTAAAATAGCAATTCGATTTAACAACAACTTATTATATGTTGAACAAAAAACGAGATAAATTATGTGCACAATAATGCACAATGCGCGTGAGCTGCAGTGCGGCGGTCGACATACTTTTACGAATGCACAAGCGATAAACACTGACCAATTAGGTGTACAGTTCCCGAAATTATTTTTTGAAATATAATAGTAGTCGGAACTCTAATAATATTCTCACGTGTAATGTTTAGCTATAAAATGACATAAATAGTGTGAAAAATACTCGAAGGTCTTATTTCGACGATTGGCCGACGCGTTTATAATTTAACTATCTTCGCCCGTAAAGCGAATAATTATAATAATGTAATTTAGTTGTGTTTGGAAAAGAAGAAAATATTATTTTAGTTATCCGCCGGTGGTCGGGAGGAATAACGACAGTCCGGCAGATCAAACGAGCGGGCGCGAGTCGGTGAAACGGAATTCTCCGTGCCAAAACTCACGGTCTTTGTGTTCCGGAGCGGCGTCGGCGGTGGTCGAAACGCGTAAAAGCTTTAATCCCGTTCACAGGTGTTTTTGACCAGTGGTTGTCGTCGTCGTTGACGGAGGTTACACTTTTGGTAACACTAAGTGACGACGACGACGTTGTTACGGTTAATTTTTCACTTCTACGAAACGAATGGACGACACGGCAGGAAGAAAACCAAGTGTGATATTTTTACAATAACCTAACGTCCACCGTCAGAACGCCAAGCGGGACAGAGGTGCCGCCGAAATGCGGAATCGGTTCATTTCGAACTCCGAGATATTTTTGATCGGCCCCGGCGCGGCCTCGGCCGAGTCGGCGAGAGTGACGCCGCGGCGCTGTTGTCATGCCGCCGGTGAGCCGGGCGGAGGCGGCGAATGATAATTACATTATCGCGCGTACGTGGAAAAAGGGGAAAAAAAGCCGTCGGGGGACGACATCGTCTCACACACACAATATTGTTATATCGATATCGATATCGATTGTGTTTGGACGGTCGCGATGTATCGATAGTGGTCGCCGCGTGCCATTCGCGGTGTGCACTCCCGCACGCAATCACACACACGCACACACACGCACGCAAAACACACGCACACACACATACGTACGTAAACACACGATCACACGCACTTACAAACACACACACACACACACACACACACACACGATTGCCGCGGCGCGCGCTGCGACCGCGACGCGGAGGGGAACGTCAACGGTGAGCCGCCGCCACCACCGCCGCCGCCGCCGCCGTAGCCGCCGTTCAGTGTTCAACGAGATACGGGCGCGGCCAGTTCGTCGTTACGGTTGTGCGTGTGTGTGTGTGCGGCGTGTGCGTGCGTGTATATGTATATAATATAATATCATTATTTTATTCTTCGCCGTCGTCGTCGCCGCCGCCGCGCGTGTGTGTGTCCATCGTACCGTGTCGTATCGTGTTTTTGTGTGTGCGCGAAATGTGTACGTTAAGTAATATTTTTTCGTCGTGAAAAAATTGCAATCCGCGAAATTTTTTTCTCTCGAAATTTTCCGATAATTTTTTTTTTCTCCTCGCCATCCCGCCGAGTGTGTTCGCGTGTCCGGTTGTCGTTTGCCGTGCTGCGCCGCGATCGTCCGACGGGTTTTTGTCTCTCGACGACAGTGTCGTCCGCGGGTCGAGTCCCTCTCGCGCCGTATAACCCTCTGTGCGTCGCGTTTTTCCGCCGCCGCCGTCGTCGTCTTGCCCACTGTGTATGCGTACGTGTGATGCGTGTCCGCCGAATCGCCGCCGGAGCCGTCGTTGTAGTCAGCAACAGAAGCAGCAGCAACAGCGTCAGCCGCGACACCAACAAAAACAGCGACAATAGCATCGGTCACCGCCGTCGTCGTAGTAACGTCGTAGCGTCGTAGCGATGGCGTCGTGCAAACGGCCGTGCTGCAGCCGCGGTGCTGGCGTGTCCAACAAGCGGCCGTGCTGCAGGGACGGCGGCGTGGACGGTGCGTCGACGTCGTCGTCGGCCGGCGGGTCGGCGACCCTCCGGTCGCCCGACTCGCTGTTGGACATCACCGCCCGGATAGTGGCCGAGAACATACCGTTCCAGCGAATCGAGGAACGGTACAGCCGCATACCGGAACCGGTACAGCGGCAGATCATCTACTGGTCGTTTCCGCGCAATGAGCGTGACATATTCATGTACTCTTCGCTGATACGCGTGTCACAGGCCAGCTCATCGTCTCAAAACTCCGAACAGAGCAACCTGTCGTTTTACAAAGGACTTAAGCTCCTGGAGACCGGATGCGTGGACCGGGTGCTGCAAGTCGGTGAGTACCAACTCGGCGGTCTATAGATTATTATATTATGTAAAATATCGAATATCGGTCAGGGTAAATCAAAATTGTAACCATCCATTATAAGTTGTCGAGCTCGTCGTCGTGACCGTTTCACAAGCCACCTGCACGGTGGTCGCAGCAGATAGACCGCCCCCGCGTCGTTGGTGTATCATATAGTCGAACTCCACGTCGACGGGGGCGGAAAAACAGACACGGGCGTCCGATCACGGTCGTCCGTAGTAAAAAATAAAAAAAAATTAAAAAAAAATCATCAATGTGTAACGCGATCGTTTGGTTTATTTTTTTTTATGTTTTTCGCGAGGGGCGCGCATAATAGTCGTAATAGTATAGCGGCGGTATAGAGTAGCACATAGGAGCAGTAGGACGAGGAGGATGGTCGACGACGGCTGTGGTGCGCGGGTTAAACGGCCTCCGCGAGAGGGAGGCGGTGATGTGTGTGTGTGTGTTTGCGTCGTCGTCGTCGTATAATATATACACATACGTATTATATATATACAGATATGTATTATACGTGTGGGGGATACACACGCACCCGCGTCATATTGATCTAATAGCCGGCGGAATTATGTAAAATGCATGCGGGGCACGTCCGGGGAAATTCAACCCCGTCGAGGAGGACCTCATTTCAAATTCTTATTAGCCCGCTTCTCTATCGCTCGCTCTGTCTCTCTCATACTCTATCTATTTCTTTTTCTCTCACTATCTCCGTCGCGTTTAAACAACAATAATAATAAGAATAATTGTGTGCAGTCACAACCGGCGACGAAAAATCGGTAAACGGCGAACGCGCGAGCGATACCCGTGACGTCGTGAGCCCGTCGCTGTCGCACGCGTATTTTTATTCGTCACGATGATAATAGTAATAATACGATCGTCGTCGACGGGAAGCGCGGCCACCGTCCCCGCGACCACACCACCGCCGCCGCTTCCACAACCACCACCAGGTGTTCCGGCGGATATGCATTATTCAAAAGCGCGTTTCGATCGGTTGGGGGGTGGGTGAGGAGGGAAACGTCGATACACATAGGCGCGCGCGGTAATTATTATTATCGAGCCTCCTCCCGCCCGCCGCCACGGTTCCCCACGATTACTCATTCGTTCCCATCCTCCCGAGAATACGAATTAAAATAAATTACAATAACTAATATAAAATATTTTTCGTTTTTAAATATTTATACAAGTACGTCGTTAATTCTGCGAGTCGGCCGCCGACTGTATATTCATGAAAATGCTAATGTGCAAATGTGGTCTATTATTATTATTATTATTATTACCAACGTCGTCATCGTAATAATTTAGCTGCAGTAGTCTCCGGCGCGTTTCACACACGCGCACACGTCACACGCCGCGCCGCACCGGGCGCAAGTGTGACGCTTGCGTGTAGAAAGTATGTATTTATTATTATCATTATTTATCTGCCGAATTGGAAAAATATCTCTACGACTACCACGTGAGGGACGAGCAACAACCTCGTAAAGGAGCGCGTAGTATTATTATTTGGACTTCAGCCAAAAGCGCGTGGAAAAATCTCGCAGAATCGCCGCCGGTCGAGAGTTTAACCGGCACGGGCAGGACGTACGTGGCCCGCCGAGCACCGCGTGGTCTACTACGAAGGCCGCTGCCGCCTCGGGCTGCGAACGGATTTCAGGAATTTCCGGTATGCATCATGACGATTTCTCGACCGTCGTCGCCGTAGCCTATCGTACATTGCGTTTCCCATTGGTTGCGCACCGTCCCGATTGTCTTTCCGGAAGCCATCCCGATAAATTCGTGTTTTCCCAAGAACCGTCTCGTTGTAGGTGCCTACTTGTAAATACTCTTAACACTATGTATTACATGTATTATTTAATTTTGTAACTAACAATAATTCTCGATAAAATTGATTATCTTTTTAATTTGTAATTATAATAACTGGCATTACGGTTAGGTTACACGCCGTACTATTATGTGTTCAGGATTTCAGATACACAATTTTAATCGACCGCAGTCCGTCTCGGATGATGTTTTTCAATTAGTCGGCTCTCTATTCACGTCCAATTGGCAAAACTCTTGTCCCGTCGTTTACTCCTTCATGAATTGTGGTTGTGAATGGGGCGAGGGGGGTGGTGTAGGCGTCACATACTCGAACAACGTGATAGAAGAGGGCCTTGGCTGACCGTCATCTTGTTATGTACCAGCAGTATTATATAGAGTAGGATGACCGCGTAGGAGCCCGTATACGCGACAGAATGCGTTTCATTATTAATAGAAGGCATATTTAATATTATGTTTTATTGTTATACAATACTATTGTATAGTTTAAATCGCTCCTCTTATCCTACGGGATTGACAATATTAAAACCAATGAATTAGCGAAAAAGCCAAGGAAAACATACAAAACACAATGAAAGAGTTTGACGTTTTCGCCATTTCATCATTATATAATATTACACCCTCGTCAGTTTTAAAATTTTCTCAACGTATCGAGGCCGTGACTGTGTCTGCTACTGCAGAATGCTGATACGCGACGAATGGACGTGTATAGTTCTTATTACGATTAATATTAGACCTTTTTTTCGCCCTCCTCGGCTAAACCTGAACAAATATTTTTCCCTGCGCGCATAGTCTCTCATGCAGCACTCCGCCGCTGCTGCCGCCGCCGCCGCAGCATTGCCACTAGAGGGTTCTCCTTTTATTATCTTTGCCCAAAAACAAACATTTGGCGTCATCGCGTTTCCAATATAACAATAGTCACGCATATATATATATATATAGTTACTCACTTGGGTATTGTATGCCGCCACTGCCTCGACAAACAAAAGTATGAATTATCATTTTATCATTATTATTATTATTATTTATTACTATTATTTCGACATGCGTTATTATTTTTTATTTTTTTATCATTATTTCCTGCGTCCTGTAACGTTACCACAGTTCGTATGTTCATCATTCATGTGTATTGATCCAGATCGCAACATCAATAAAATAAATCGTGTATTAAATATAAAATAATCGCGAAAATTGAACAGCTGCGTGCTGCTGATAACCGCTTCCATATGGACCTAACCAGGTCGTGGGCATTTAAAAGGAAGACACACCATCACCATTAGTGATTAACCAAAAAACAATAACAATTAACAAGATAAGCAGTGCAAGGCGATCGCCGTACGCAGCCGTTGCTCAGTAATATCTGGACCACGTGATCTGACTCGCACCGCTTTATCGAACTTCCAAGTATGACTATAGTTAATTTTCACTCATAAAATTCGACACGTATGGATTTTTTTCGCATGAATTATGTTTATTTTCTTGGTTAATGTACATTCAGAATAACTTCGCAATCTGTATTTCATTTTTATCTCCAATTGGCCTAATTATTTTTTATTCAACTATACAACAAATTACATGCAGCTCGCAAAACACCAGCGGTTACTATTTATTTTCGCTTTAGTCGTAATCGAAAGAAAAAAAACAGTTTCTTGCTTCGTCGACAGCCCTTTCTTTATCCTAGAGGTTAGATTTCAAATGAAAAAAGTGATTAATTTATCATCTTTGCACATCCCGCGAAACATGTTTTTTTCGTTTTGTGTTAGCAAACAAGATGGCGTCGTGTTGGACAAAGAATCGGTTTTGTGTGTCTCAAAAAGGGATTTCATACGTGCTGCTACAGCAGCAGCAGCAGCAGCAGCTGAACGAAAGAATAAAATACGGCCAGTTTAATATTATGTGTGTTGTATAGGAAGTCTATTATACGACTAAAATACGAAACCTTACATTATATTGTTTCTTATGATACACGCGACAGGGTGGTGTTAAATAACTCACGTCGGACGCGTAATTATTGTTTTGAAGGCGGTATAGGTACGGGACTAGCAGTACACACGCACACACACACTCCGTACTCCGTGTATAGAACAGGATGTGTAAACTGTATATCATATTGAAATTAAATGAAAAAAATTCTTGTGCTGTGGTGATCGACGCGTATAAACCGAGACATAGATCCACACGTAAATCGATTTTTGTCACATCATCGTTGCTGAGAGCGGTTCGACAATCCTGCTTGTATTATACATTTATATCTACCAAGCACATTGGTAGGATTCTAATGGCGGACGATTAATCGTAATCCATTCCTTAGCTCTCGCATATACGTAATAATAAATTATTTTTAACAAACGGTTTTTACCTATAGTTTCTGAATAATACAAAATTGTTATGTGGGGTGCGGCGGTCGACGACGACGATTTTGGCTGTCGCGCCATGTGTAGTACAGAGAGAGAAGAGTTGAGAGCGAGAGAGGTAAAAACCGAACAAATCGAACGCGTTGCCGGGGCCAATATTCGCGCAGCAAACGTCTTTCCGCACTCCTCCTCCATATGTACGCCACTGCCTACTACACCATTGTCCGTCCATATCGCCACCCCACGCGACGACGAACCCCATTGTTTTCGCTCTTCGGCCAACACCCTCGTCGCCGATCGTGTGGGGGCTGTTGCCGAAGACGCCGATAAAATCGGCGCTGCGTGTGAAATTTTTGTTATTTATTTTACCGAGGGAGCAGACCGACAGTCTTTACCTCACAAAAACCGTTTTTACGTACATTTCTTTTTCCCGAAATTCGAAAGGTACCCTCGACGACGTCTGTAGGCCGTCTGCCGTCCGAGCGAGAGGGAGGGAAATGAGAGAGAAAGGAGACGGAAAGAAAGAAAACCAATTTCTTTCGGAGACCGAGGGTCCGCCGCGCATCGTCGTCATTAACCACATGGGTTCAAAAATGCGGTTTTAGCAGATGGAACAACGCCGTCACGGTCGTGTATATAATATTCGTTGCTCGTTATAGATCGAACTTGCGAGACCCGAAGAATCGAGTGATATATTTTCTAAGGATTGCCGGACATTATCTAACCGAGAAATCTATACAAGAGTTCGCGACCGAGTGGTGCGGTCTCGACGGGTTCCAAGTGGTTTCCGTGCGGCAGCTGACT